TGTGTGTGTATGTGTGTGTTCTCCCATTGTGCACCTTCACACCTGCCAAGCCTGTCTCCTGTTTCACTTGTTGTTTAATCAGCTCCTCGCCCTATAGATTTCTTTTTTATATAGCCTCTTAAAATGTCTTCCCTTTAATTCACCCCTTGATATTGAGCCTCTAAGTGTCTTTGTATCAACCTTGTGTTACTGCCCCTGATATAATTTGTAACTTGTTGTGTGTGCAGATTGCCTCTGTCAATATCTATACATCTTTGATTTAGTTTGACCTCTTAGCTTAAATAAGGTGTTGGTGTCGGCTGCCAGGTGCTAGGTGCAGGAATGTAGAGGCAGGGGTGTACAAGCCAAGAAACAGCCACCACTTAGAGTTGTGTTGTTTTCAAAGTCATGTTTAAAAGCACCATTTCAGAGAGGTAGTCACAAATTGATTAAATAAATCCAACTAAACTTAATTTAATCTCAGCAAATGTCTTTCAGTTAACATCATATAATATGGTTGTCGTACTACGATGCAACTTAGAGGTTAAATACAAACAGTAATACACGACAGACAGATAATAGATAGATGGATGGATAAAGGAAAAGAGGGGTGGAGAGTGGAGGTAAAGAGCAGGCCTGAGTGGTGGCTGAAGAGGAGGAGGACAGGAAGAAAAAGGGCGGATTAGTTCGCATTTATCATTTTGACAGCTGACCCTGTGGCCGGCCTTGGGACCTCACCGCATCCCCCTCTTCTCCTGATTTTTCCTCTCCCCAAGTTGTTCACACTTTTCCACTCCTCTGATTTCTCCTTTGTTGTCCTCCTTTTCCGACTTCGCTTCCACAGGGAGTCTGCTATACCAATATGACTTTTTTCCACCTCTCCTCCTCTACCTCCTTTACTTTTCTCTCTTCCATTTTTTGCCTTTCCTCTCATTGCAGAAACAAGTGGAAATGAAGAAGACATGATTTTAAAAATGAGAATATGCTTTTTACAGTAACTCTTTTAAACCTAAAACATTCGATTAGTGGATCCACAATCTGGGATTTATAATGATTGACATCAAGTTTGATTTAACCATTTAGCTAGATGTCATATGTTGTCTGCTCTCATCAAAACTATCAAAACATTTTGTGGAAAATTATATTTCTCACCCTCCGTGATCGCATTCATGAAAGGGTGGGACCATCGATGTATTTTGAAACTTGATTTCATGATATCAGAGGAAGGACACATCGTCAGGGCCAGTTTCCAAGTTGCATGAAACAGTTGGCACAGACAAAGATTCGTTTATCAGTCAAGTGAGCAAAGCAGCAGATATTCTGGTTCCTGCCATGTTGAATCCGGGGAAAACGCTTGTGAACATTCAGTGTACAGCAATTGTTAATTTTGTCCACATTGTCCCAAACCCGCAGGAATATTGTGTAGATGTTGAATGAAAACACCACGTTTTTAACTTTATGTGCTCGTGGCCATGGCTGGTTGAGGGAAAAACATGTCGCCACGATGCTAAGCAATGATTTTTTTATTGTTTGTGTCATTAAAGGAAAGAAATGTGATCCATGATATTCTGTTTATGCATATCTTCTCTATTAATGTTTTAGTTGAAGTGTATATCTGTATAATGTTTGAACTGAGGGGTTTGTCTAAAGTTAAACTAACTCAATTCCTTCCTCCCCCCTCCCCCCTCTCTCTCTCTCTCTCTCCCTGTCCATCTGTCTCTCTCTTCAGTCGTTTGGAGCAGAACTTGATTAAAAGTGTCCCAGCTGGAGCCTTCACTGCCTACAAGAAGCTCAAGAGGATGTGAGTCTGTGTGGATACAACACACACACACACACACACAATATATACACACAGGCATATATAGTGGTACTGGATATGCAACAGACATTTTATTTATGAATCTTGAACTTTAATTAAAAGTGGCATAATCAGTTATTGATGTGTTTAACATTTACAGACTGTGAGCTACATACAGTACTGCTGTTTCATCAAATGTTTCATCTGAGGTCCGACCCAACATCAACACGTGCACACACACACACACACACACACACACACACACACACACACACACACACACACACGCTGGGATTTTAACCTCGACAGTGTTGAATAATAAATCTCACCGTGGTGGAAGTGAATGACATTAACTGCACTTAACATGCCTCTGCTTCCAGTCCTCTCTCTCTTTTGCTCCTGTCACTTCGCTTTTTACCTTCACTCTTTCCATCACTTCATCTCTCTCTCTCTCTCTCCCTCTCTCTCTCTCTCTCTCTCTCTCTCTCTCACATCCAGCCCATCTTACATTTTTTTCATCCTCCTGTCCCCTTGCCTTGACCTCGACTGATGTAGTCTCTCATGATCATTTGTCAGACAGTTCTAGGACATCCACACAGAGTGAACCCCATCATTGTGTTTTACAGTGATGCACTTATCGGCTCTCTCTCCCTCACTCTCTCTCTCCTTCTCTTACTCCCCCAGTGACTTAAGTAAGAACCAGATTTCTGACATTGCTGCTGATGCTTTCGGTGGCCTTCGCTCACTCACCTCATTGTAAGTATGATACACTTGCCTGCCAACAAACATGCATTTCATTTTGTTTACTCATACACACTTCAAGGCAGGAACGTAATTGCGTAACCAGACATTTAGCAAATAATAATGTTGTTGCCCCTCGATGTTGACAACTGGGGCATAATTCACTAGTGTGTGTATGAGCTGTATGAGCTGTGTGCATGTGTGTGTGTGTGTGTGTGCGTGTCTGTATGTGTGTGTGTGTGTGTGTGTGTCAGAGGTTGATAATAACATGAAGGACAGTTTAATTTGACTCAATCTTGAGCATGTAAATGAGACAGACAGTCAGACAAGAAGGGGCAGACAAGGTGAACTCCCCTGGGTGTTAAGATTGAACGCACATATGCGCAGACACCCACACTCACACTCAATGGGAATGTCACTGAGAGGCTGACTTCTGCAGCAGAGGCCATCAGAGGAGTGATGTAGCAAAATATACAATGGCCCAAGTGGATAACATGGTTGCAACTGCAACTGAACTAGAAGATGAACAGTGCAAGGAAATACAGTAATAACTAGGGACAAGTCTTCTGAATAACGTCTAATTGTTTTGTGTAACAGGTATTGTCTCCTGGAACAGTCTCATATTACAATTAATGTTTTTATTCACTGAAAACAAGAAGACTTTTCAAATTCCTAGTCTTGTATTCCTAGCACTATGAAGAATCACTGTAATTTTTGGCATCATATAAACTTCCCTGTCCTGATATAAGGAAGGAAAATAAATTCACTTTAATGGGATGAAATAACACAAGATAACTGGTGGATGAAGACCAGTGCCCGTCTCTAGTGGCACATCAGGAATAATATCCATTAATTAATTTACTACATCCTGTACGACTCTAAACAGGTAATCAAAGCCTTGCACACATGTAACTTACGTGAAGTTTTCCTGACTGTCCTGTGCAGGGTCCTGTATGGCAACAAGATCACCGAGTTGCCCAAGGGTCTGTTTGATGGGCTGGTTTCCCTGCAGCTGCTGTAAGTACTGTCTGTGTGATCTGATGTTGTGTGTCCCATTAGTTGTAGATTAGTGCCACAAACTGACAATATTCTGGAATTCAGTGTACATGCTGACACAAATGATGCTAGGACTTGACATCCCTATGAATTAAGTGGTGCTTTATCTTGGTAATTTTAAATTCAACAGCCACACTACAAATAAGGGATTGAAACCTGGTTAAAATATTAATGATGGCTAGAAAGAAATCCCAATGAGAAGGGGTAAGGGTGACCCTCCCAGTCGAGAACACTGGAGGGAGATTGTAGAGGAAATCTACCAGATGGAAAAATGGATGCGTCGATGGATAAGAAGTGTGAGAATTCAGAACCCCAAAAAAGTGATGAAGACTATGGAGAAGACAAATTGATTTAGTGGGAAAACTAAAAGAGTTAATGGATTTATAGTGTAATAAGTGTTACTCCCAAAGCATTTGGGGCATTTGTTCTGTTAATGTTAAAATTCAGTTCTGTAGTTTAAGACAGACATTAATTATTAATCATTTAATAAGAACAGTGTTCTCACAGTGTCTCTTGCTTTGGCTGAGATGAAAGCAGCCAAATAAACAACTGTGGTGGAATTTATGTTGAGCTTTGTACTTGATTTTCCGTAATTAAGATGATTTGGCACCAGCAAGTCACATCTACAGTTCACTACCGCTGGACCATAATCACAGCTCAGGTCAATGTTACAGATTGTTGTCGCTGTAGTATATAGTGGTAATTTCATGAGGAAGCATCACCCTCTATCACTGGACCGATACTTGGCAATAATCACTATAGAATCTCCTCATCATGCATTAACCCTCCGTCTGTTCTTTACCTTGTGTATGTGTCTGCGTGTGCTCTGTGTTTTTCTTAAATGATCAATATGAACCAAATTGGTGCACTGTAGTAAAACCTGGCATCCCCTGTTGTTCGTCTCATATTTACTGTCTGCGTAGAGGAAAACTATTAATTATAACGGCGCACTGGCACAGATTCAAGCTGCAGCTGTAGTTTCGGCATGTAGTAAAACAATTCTGGCTGCTATAATGGCTACATTGGTACTCTGTGTGTGTGTGTGTGTGGCATATGGTCCTCGAGAATGCCGCAGTCCGCTGCAGAAACAGCTAATGTTCTGGGCTTTTCCATCGTAAAGTCAAGTGGAGCGAAGAAAATGAGGATGAGTGAATCTAACCCACAAACACCTTTTACGTGCTTAGGTGGATCATTGGGATGCATGGTGCATAGTCAAGACAGAGAGGGAGGAGGGGCGGATAGAAGGGTGGATAAATGGATGGATGGTTTTAGAGGGAAAGAAGGGGAGGAGACATTGGGAAAAAGACATACAGTACAAATCCAGAAAAGATTGGAAACAGAAAAAAAGAAAATTAAAATTGAATTTTTTTTTTCTGTGGCTAAGTGGGCGGGCAGGGTGCTGAGCTGTCACCTCATAGCAAGAAGGTTCCTGGCTTGAATCTCAGCTTGACCAGAGCCTTTCTGTGTGGAGGTCGTTCTCTGTGTGCATGAGTTTTCTCCCGGTGCTCCGGCTTCCTCAGAGGAGATGCAGATTGGGGCTGGGTCAATTGCAGACTGTAAAATGTTTACCCCGCCATCCACACAATGTAGGTTGGGATTGGCTCCAGCTCCCTCAGAGGAAAAGCAGTATAGATCATGGATGGATGGATCATAAGTGTGTTGTAACATCATTAAGCTTTGTTTCCCATGATCATAGACTCATAAACTGATCATCATTATCAGTCAAAGGACTAAATAACCAGTTAATATTAAAGTCTTGCCACATCATCCGTCAGTCAATAGCTCAATGGATCCTAAAAAGACACAGTGTTGATGTTTGCTCAGCAGGTAAAGGGAGGGAATATGTCTATCCCCGAAAACTTGGTCAATGTGACATACATATCCTCTATATGGTGTAAAATTATAATTTATATGTCAGCTCTCACTGGTGAATCAAGCAGCATGTCCACCGACAAAGATGTGTTTATTGCTCTCTATAGCTACCACTCTTCTGTTTGCATTGTCTGCGCTGCTGTGTTTTACTGGTGCAGTTTCAAGTAATTAGTTCCCCCTGTGAGCTGCCTAATGAGGCGTGGATATGTCGCAGAGCAGTGTGTGTGTGTGTGTGTGTGTGAGAGTGTGTGTACTTATAGTATAACTGGGTTTTGTCAGTATAGGTGCTCGTTAGCATGACTTCAGATGATTGAGCTGAGCTGCTGTACTAAGCCCAGAGTTAGTCACCTGTCAAACAAAGAAGATGAGGAGAGGGTGGAGTTTCTGGGGAAAGATGGAGAAACAAAGAATGAAAGGAAATACAGAAAATGTGAAGAGAAAGCTAAAAGAGATGATACAAGTACAGGGGAACGCTGACAGTGTAAATGTATTAGTTAATGAGTGCAGGTATGAAAAACCGAGATGGAGGGAAGGTTAACACACTTCCTGTCATTTACCTAATCCCTCAATCACATTTCTCATTTCCCCGTCCCTCTCTCCTGTGCACTGGTGTCATTACAAATTAAATTTTCACCTGTCCCTTCTCCGTCTTACTCCATTATTTCCTCCATCCCATCCTGTCTCTTTTCTCCCGCTCACCATCTGTCTCCCCCATCGAAACTAGATATTACACTACCCAACACAACAGCACATATTCCCCTCATGGTCCAGAAGAGAAAGTGAAAATATCATAAAATAACAATTTTCAGATTTATGGGTCATGGCCAGAAAAAAATATAATGACGAGTGTTTGGAGAGGGCGATGGTGAGGAACAAGGAAAGAATTAGCAAGATAGAAAACACGGAGGGGAAAAACTGTGGAATTTCAGTAGACGTGCAACTGAGAGAGAAACTATCTCATTATCTGCATATGTGCTTATTTTCAGTTTGTGTGGTGCGGAGAGATAATAAAGCTAAATAAGTAAACAGCTAAAAAACAAATGCTGACAGGCTCTTCTTTGTGTTTCAGGCTTCTGAATGCCAACAAAATTAACTGTTTGAGAGTCAACACCTTCCAAGATCTGCAGAACCTCAACCTGCTTTCGCTGTACGACAACAAGCTGCAGACGATCAGCAAAGGACTGTTCGCCCCTCTGCGCTCCATCAAGACTCTGTAAGAACTCATAACAGAAGAACATAGGCTGAGAATTATGCATTTTTGGATTTTGTCCAAAGGTGACGTTTTGTTTTAAAACATGACACCTGAGACAACTTTGTAGTCACCCTGTACATATCTTTTCTTATTCCCATGACAAACCCATCTCCCATCTCTCTCCTCTCTCCTTCTCCCCTCTCAGTCATCTAGCTCAGAATCCCTTTATGTGTGACTGCCACCTGAAGTGGCTGGCCGACTACCTGTTTGACAATCCCATCGAGACCAGTGGAGCTCGCTGCAGCCACCCCAGGAGGCTGGCGAACAAACGGCTCAGCCAGGTTAAAGGCAAGAAGTTCAGGTGCACAGGTAAGACATGAGTGTTCACATCAGCTGTTTCTCAGAGATGATCTCGGGAAGATGTTTGGAGAATTGGGTCAAGACATTTTAAGGAGTTTGCCTTTCATATATGAAGAATTTCATATGAGCAGGAAATTGTCAGGTTAAGACGAAGGGTGGAGTCTTGGAAGTTTATTCTTTCAACACCGGGAAAATATTCGGACTTCAGTGCATATCTGAAAGCAGCAATAAAGGTAGTAAAAATCAAACAAATAAAAAAGTCGAGATTAACAGACACATTATAAACAGAAGCTGAAATGTGCATGTAATTACTAAAACACACACAAGCTCACACATCCACTCTCTCTCTCTCTCTCTCTCTCTCTGTGTGGTGTATTTTATTACTGTTATTTCCTTTGATACGAGTCATGGGTCTCACTAATTACAACACAGACCAATTCAGTATATTGAAGCAGCACAATAACTAACTCAGCAGGGACCGGCCTCAGATGTGATCGCCCACTTGTGTGATATGATGTGTCTGTGGCGGTGCAGTGGCTCCTCAAGTTGTTTTCCCTGTTTTAAATATTATGCCTTTTTTATGACTCGATGGAAAATGAATTTTTAAAATCCCCTTGCAGACATTTTACAATCTATTTGAATTGTGTTCGAACAGGGGTGCCGAGCAAATTGTTGCTTTACAAAGCAGCGTGTTAGGAGACTATGTCAGTTCAAACTATGACTTTAATCTTATACTGAATGTGAATGTGTAGAGAAAAGATGATCATGTCATAGAATTACCAGAAGATGCTGAGAAATATGCCTAAACAGCTGCAGTCTTGTGACTGGATGTACGGATATACTGTGTGTCTTATACAATAACAGGCCTATGATCATCTAAAAGAAAAAAACCATCTGTAAACAGATTTTTTTAAGCACTAAAGCAACTCCTGCCATCACAGTCTCTCTGTGAGCTGTAAAAAGTTTTTTTCTGTTAAGCTGAGTTTTTAATGACTTGACATTTCTAACATGCCAAACTGGGCACAGCATTAATAACATTAACATCAAATGCTATTAAAAGGTAGAGGTGCTTTGAGTGTGGAAGGTCAAACCCCTTCGTGTTCGTGCTCTGCCCATGGAGCTCATCAAGATAATTAAGTTACAAAATGCTCCTTGAGCTGGTTCTGGCCGCCCTCTCTGCTTCAGCTGCTCCTCTCTGCAGCCCCATGCCTCTCCCTGCATCTCCTCCTTCTCTGCGGAGCTGTGTGGACAGTTTTGCTAGTGGTGGACAGTTCTTTGGCTCCGCCTCCCCTCCTGTGTGGATCTGCGGCTGTCTTGTTGCCTCTCCTCTCCTGTATGGACCCTGACAGCTCTCTGTTGCCCCGCCTTCCTCCTGTGTGGACCTGCATTCTGATTGGTTCGTGCAGCTGTCTCTTGTGCTTGATCTAACCATGTGGCCCCGCCTACTGTGACATCACATGGTTCCGTCAAGCGCCAGGGACCGCCGAGCACACGCCCACCTGCCTCTCCCAGCCAATCACGCGCCTTGGAGCAAAACAAATTGGGGGCTAATCACTTAACTTCTATTGCATTTATGTTTATGGCATCTGATGCATGGGACTCTAACTGTCGTTGACATAGACGACCCATAGATATCACAATACTATGACAGTGTTTAACTGGTTTTCTACTGATAATTTAAAGGGGCCCTGTGGAGTTATGATTACAGTCGGTGCTTTTCTCCAACACTCATCATGTGTCTTCTTCAAGTCTAACAAATTGCACCAACAACTTGTGGAATAGACACGACACCAGCAACTGGATTAGCATATCAACACCAATGTGTGTGGATTTGTATAAATGTGTCATTATGCAATGGCGACCCAAACGTAAACACTTAGCTCCATAGCACTACTGGTTAAAAAACTCCACAGGGTGTCCTTTCCTGACTCAAAAGGATCTATTCACCTTCACTGCTCAACTGTTTAAATGCATAAACACATATTTCTTCCAGGGATGCTTTTCTTCTAGTGTTTACTTTGGAAAGTAGAGTCTTTGTAAACTACATAAAGAGAATTGCTTGGTTCACCTTCCTCGACTGTGAAATCTTCCAGTGCTTCAGTGTGTAGCATGGCTCATTCCCCCGCCTCTGTGCAAACTCCTTTACCAGTTTCTGCTCCAACTGATGAAGACATAGAAACTCTTACCATTACTGTTATGAGATTATAAAAATCCTCCCCTCTGTTCTTGGCTTCGTTGTTTCTCGCTCTTTTTCTTTTTTATTATTCTCAAATTGGTCTTTCCTTACTGTCAACTTGCCAACCAACAAGGTTTGTGGCAGCTTGGAGACATTATTCCAAAATATCCTGCCACTGAAGGGAGCTAGCCACATCTCATAAAAGATGAGACAACGTTTGACACGCAGTGATCATTTTACTGAGTTCAAATCAAGGTTGTTCACTGAGAAATCTCTCTAGGTGGTCTCAGTAGTTTTGTTTGCCATAAAGGGTTCAGTGTGCCAGGAGCGAGAACCGACATTCTACTAATAGACAACAAAGCTGAAACAAGAGAGCGAGGAGGAGAAAGAGGGAATGATAATCGTGAGAAGAGTGTATGTGTGGTGCACAAATACATGTGCTGCGTGATGTAAACCAGGTCTCTTCCACAGGCACAGGCAGTCATAAATAGTATCTGCTCACATTATATCTAAATAACAGAAGTGGTCTCTGGCTCACTGTGTTAAACCAAAACATCCGGGGTTAAACCACATTTATCTGCAAGATGATTCCATAAAACCACCTGGATCTCAGTTTGTTAATTTGATTTATAGTGGTAGCCCTCCCAGCATCAGCTCCATGACTACCACCATATACAGAGAAATACTGCAGGAGCAACTGTCGTACATATCTATTTAAAAATTCACTAATGTCCTTCACATTACTAGTTGGCTAAATGTCTTACAACCTCTGACAGTTTTAAGTAGAACAGAAGTAGACTTTCCTGAACAATTAAACTTCAACTGGAAACAGTTTAGACCGATATGGCTACATCTGAATATGCATGATTGTTTCCTTTTTACTATTAAATGAATATTTATTTTGCCTTCATAAGGGATTGTAAGTTCAAATCCAAAACATTAAAATCTTTCTTCTCTCCTCTTCATCATTTTCTCTCTTTCCCTCTGTCTGCTACTCCCCTGTTGACTTAATTTACCTGGCTTTTCTTCTTTCCCTTCCTTTCTACCCTTTTTTCTGTTTCTCCTTTATCACTGTGTCTCTCTATTCATCTCCCTCTCTCCTCTGCAGGTCAGGAAGACTACCGTAGCCGTCTGAGCGGCGACTGTTTCCAGGACCTGGTGTGTCCAGAGAAATGTCGATGTGAAGGCACCGTCGTCGACTGCTCCAATCTCAAACTGACCCGTTTCCCTCCACACATCCCCGAGCACACCACAGACCTGTGAGTTACATACATTCACATGCACATAAGACAAGACATGATGGAATATCGCATTGAAAGATATTTTCCATTTTCTCAGCCATATGAAAACATGAAATATAAAAACATAAGCATGTGGGTTCACATACTTGCAGACTTACACAAACACTCACACAAGCATCCTCCTCCATACAGGCCAATATAGCTGTCTCTTTGTCTTTCTTCTTGCCTCTCTCTGTGCACTATCATGAATGTCAGTCTTCATTTTTAGCTCCCAGAGCAAAATGCCTCTCAACAGTGTCTTTTCCATCTCCCTCCGAGTCCCAAAGGAACCATCATGATGTCTGGCAAAGGGTCTCACACTAGAATACTGAATAGTCCCATGGATCATTTATTTCATTGCTGAAAAATAGAAAGGGAGAAATAAAGTGTGAGGAAAAGTGTGAGGAAGGTTAAAAAGTCAGTGCGTGCGCTGAAAAAATACTTGTTTACAGCTATAACCAGTGAATCAATCTGAAATATCGGTATATGTTTATATATATGATAATGTAATGCCCTCTTTTGCTCTTAATGATTTTTTATAGATACATGACCCTGTAAGTCACTGAAAATAAAAATAAAGACCTATTTTACAATGTTAATGAATGCTCCCTGATCCAGATCTGCACCAACATTTTATGGGATCTTTCCTGACCCATACCACATCCTTCTGCCAAGTTTTGTGTTAATCCGTCCAGTAGCCTTTGCAGAATCCTGCTAACAAACATACAAACCAACAGACAGGGGTACAAGTCGTAAAATCCAAACATGAGAGTAAAAAGGGTTTCTCCAAACTAAGACTCAAGAAAGAAGTGTTTAGCGAGCCCCCTTTTAGTTTCAGCACCAGAATAGAATATTCAACAAGCTAATATATCCACACAGGAAATAGGAATCCAGCCAGAAGCAAAGTTTTCCCTAATAACTCTGAATCACAAGCAGCTTTAAAATGCAGCTGAAGGATGGAGAGCGTCTGCCGTTGCTGTCACTGTGTACTAATGGAGAGTATCGCTGCAGAATAGGAGAGCACTGCAGCAGATGCAGGGTGTTTGGCACCGTATTAATTATGGCGGTTAGTTGTATAATGGTGAACTCAACCATGGGTGCCACTAATAATGTCAGTATTACACACACCATTAGGCCCTGATTCTTCTGTCTCTTCGTCTCTTTGCTTCGGTTTCTCTCTTTGAAAAGTTGAATCTTACCATTTTCCCTTCTTTTCTCTCCATCCATTCCCAGGGTGCTTCACGTCAAAAAATATAAACCTCGTCCTTTATGGTTGGTTGGAGGGCACATCAAAGTTTCTACCATTTTCAACACCCTCTCACTTTCTGTTTCTCTTGCCTTTTCCCCAAGAACATAACCCACCATAGGATTGTTGAGTGGCACAAACACACACACACACAAGCTGCCAGGCATTCCCTGTAACCTGCCTTATCAGGGGAAATCAGGGGAGGTTATGACCGAGCTGAAGGTTTATATATATGTTTTATGCTCTATTTCTCTCCTCTGTCTATCTCTCTCTCTGTTTTCTTTGTGATTCTTCCCACTAGCCATGGAAATCCTTGACATCAGCTTTGATAGTTTTCTATAATCATGAAAGAATCAGTCTTAAGAGAGTTATTTGCACTCAATAAAAGGCTCCGTGCATTCTGAGTCGGTGTTGAGAGCCCTAGTTCACAAGGTAACGAGATTAAAAATGTTTCATCTTCACTGTTCAATCCATGAAAACTACAACAGTCAAGGCAAGATCATGTTCCTGCCATCCCCGATCCACGTCAGACTTTTCAATATGTTATTTTACTTTGGCTTCATCCAGGTTGATCCATCTTTTAAGTTCGTCAGTATCTCATTAGAAAGTGTCCCCTCCGGCTGATCTTTAACTTTCTGTCTTTTCTTACTCTACTTAACCAACACACTTACACACAAACACAATAACACACACACTGAGCATCCTCTTAGCAACACAATTTTAGTACAAATTACCTCAATAAAGCAGATGTCTAGCTTTCTATCTCTTAAACCATTTCCTCCTGGCTCAGGGCACTATGGGTATTGATGACCACATAGAAAAGATTTCTCTCTTCTCTTCTCCTCTCTTCTCTACTCTTCTCTCAACAGTCACTAAAGGCCTCTTAACCTTCATGCAGTCATTCCTCCCTGACGTGCAGCCTCCCTCTATCTTGTTTTTGCGAATGTGTGTGTATGTGCATGTTCGTGTGTGTGTGTGTGTGTTCACTCGAAGCAGTTGGGTTCATGAAAGAATAAATGTCTAACTCTCTCCCTCTATCTTTCTCTCTGTAGGCGGTTAAACGACAATGAGATTGCCGTCCTGGAGACTGCAGGGACATTTAAGAAGCTGCCTAACTTGAAGAAGATGTACGTATAAACATCTATCTCTGTGTTCGTACGTGAGTGTGTGCCTTTGTGTGTGTGCGTGTGTCTGTCTGTGTGTGTGTGTGAATACAGAAGCACTTCTCATCTTTTCATTACTCTGCAGTTAGGACTTGGGTTGTGTTTTTCTTTTTGCATTTATTTAGTCCAGTAAATCATACATCTATCCTTTGAGCAGAAGGAATGCACATTTCATGTCATTTCTAAATGTGTATTGTTCATATTCACTCTCTTTTAGTCTGTTTCTTTTTCTGTCTATAGCATAAATAAGCTTTGCAATTACAAGTTGACTGAAATCACAACAGTATGATGTGAACAGAAGGACTAATGTGAATGGACAGATAATGAGGAATCCATGAAAAAACAGAAGTGAAGAGGAAGAGAGAGGATGGAAAGAAATGTGATAGAGGAAAGGCGGTGGAAAGATGAAGAGGAAGGAGCAAGGGTGAAAAAGATATTAAGGACACTGGAAAAAACATGCAAAGAGGAAAGAAGTGAAAATGAGAGAGAGATATGCAAGAGGTAGAGGAAGAGGAGTCACTGAAGACAGGAAGAGAGAAAGTGAGAAAGAGTGAGAGAAGGGTGGGTCTGGGGTATGGAGGAGGTGAATATTGAATGGAAATAGAAGTTGGGCCTTCGCTGCAGATTTACAGTCAGCGCTTATCCTACTTCAGGTGTGTGTGTGTGTGTGTGTGTGTGTGTGTGTGTGTGTGTGTGTTTGTGTGTGTGTGCGTCAGACTGAGATAGAGAAAGACAGACCAGAGAGCAGCAGTTGATTTATTGGAGAGGAAATTGCTAACCATCTAGCAGTGTCACTGACGATATAGATTGGCTCACACTCATTTCCATTTTCCTTTTCTCAGTTCCTTCCCTCCCTTCTTCACCTCCTCTCCTTCCATCACGTCTCTCTTATCTGTTCAATTTGTTAGTCCGTCTGCAATTATTTTTTATTTTCTTGTTAATTTAACCCTTTACTTCTTCTCCCCGCCCATCTCCTCTCCTCTTATCTTCTGATAAGAAAATGCACAAAACTACCTTTGAATGAAAGCTGCAGTAGTTGTGATAGCTATCATCTCCAGTTATTGTCTCTGTGGCCAAATGCTCTTTTCATTTTCATTTTTCTCATTGTCTCTGCAAGGAAGAGAGATAGCGATCATCTTCAGTTGTCTGTGACCACTTGTCTCATTTACTTTTGTGTGTGTGCATGTATGCGTGCATGTAAGTCTGCTTGTATGTGTGTGTGCGTTTGTGCTTTGTGTTTTATAGTAACGGCTGTTATCAGAATATCTTTTGCCATAAAACCAGGACATTAAGATGAAAGAGAGAAGAGTTAACATTTATTAGTTGAACAGCTGTGACTGATTAGTTAAAGTGGGAATGTTGTGTAGCCTTTTGTGTGGGTTTGCATATGTGGTTATATTGTCCCTCTGGTGGTGTGTGTTAAAGATTGCATAGGCTATCATGTATTAAATCAAGACAAACGGGTTAATCTGTCATTTCTTTGTCCATCCTGCAGCAACCTGAGCAACAACAAGTTGAGGGACATTCGTGAGGGTGCGTTCGATGGAGCGGTTGGAGTTCTGGAGCTGCTACTGACAGGAAACAAGTTAACTGGACTGCAGGGACGCATGTTCAGGGGCCTCACTGGCCTGAAAACTCTGTAAGTTGTTAACAATACTGCATGTGATTGTGCACAGATGTATATGTAGGTAGAATGTGTAGTTTCAAAATAAACGTACTGTAAATAAATATACAAATACAAAATAAGAGAACAGCTCACAAAACCATAAGACCAACAAATAAATATATAATTTTTGTGGTGCATGTTGGGATTGATCTACTGAGTGAAGAACATAAAGGAAGTAGGCTACTGCTGATATACTAGTTGATGTCAGATTCAGTAACTACATATTCACATAAAACCTTCATAAAGTCAAAATGGCCACCGGGTCATCGTTGGTCATCACTACCACTACACACACTGTTACTTGTGTTTCTATTGGACTTGTGGTGAACTTCGTTACCTTGTTTCCTCCACAAACTGCAGAGAAAGGGGCGGGATGGTCTGCTCGCTTACCCTGAAATCAAGGCTAATGACAGCATATTGTTATTCCTCTCATTTAGACGCCTGCCATAAATAGGCTAGTGTCCAATTAGGAGTTACAGGATAGTGCACAAAAGCCTGAGCCAATGTTGTCTGTATGCTCAGTAATGACTAGCTAATGCTATCCTGTATATATATCTATGCCGCCTAATGACTCTCTAATGGTATCATGGCTGTCTCTGTATTATGTTAAGAGGCTCCCTGCTCCAGTAATAGCCTTGCTAACTAGGTTAGCCCATCCCAGAGATTGCTAATACTAACTAACTCAGTTAGCCTGGTCCCGTATGACTGGATGTCAAAGCTAATGTCATATTACAGAGTCTGTCACGTTTGTCTTGTGGGGACTGGTTTGAATTTAGCTCTAGTTTCTGTTTTGTCTTTCATCCATGTCATTATCAGTTATGGTCTTTCATCCTCTTTGTCTCTTTTTATCCACATGAATTATGTAAATTCTCTAGTTTTTGTCTGTCAGAAAACATCCTCAAGTTAACAAAAGGAGTAAAATCTATTCTTGGTTCAACAGTTTAATCTTAAAGCTTTTTTAAACTTTGTGCAACAATATCAAGGCATTGAAATACTTTAAAGTGTTAAAGGTTCAATGTGTAAGTTTTAGGTGAAAGATATTTATTGGTAGAAATTGAATATAAAATAATCCTAGTGATGTTTTCACTAGTGTTTCATCTAAACTGTGTTGTTTCTATTACATCAGGAGCGGGTTCTCTCTACGGAGGCAGCCATGTTTTTTACAGTAGCTCAAACTTCACAAACTAAACACCTTTTGAGTTTTTATGACAACTGAAGCTATCACAGGATATCTTTCATGCGTAGAAGAGGAGGTTGAGGGGTATTCAGCTGCAAAATTCAACTTCACCACTAGATGTCACTAAATTCTACACACTGAACCTTTAATTTGATTGTTTTTAAGGTCAAATATACGTGCACACAATTAGCTTTTCACAATCATTTAATAAATATTTGGTGTTCATGCTTGCAGAATGTTGAGGAGCAACCAGATCAGCTGCATCGACAACAGCACGTTTACGGGTCTGAGCTCAGTGCGTCTCCTGTCGCTGTATGACAACAGGATCTCCAGCATCGCCCCGGGAGCCTTCTCCACTCTACACTCCCTGTCCACCATGTGAGTCGCATTCCTCGGCCATTCTTGCTCCTTGTATGGTATACTGTATGTTTGAGTAGTTTTGTTTTGTTTATTTCAATACCGTTTTTCCTGTTATTTCTCAGCGTGTAAACTATTTTCTCTCGCTTTATCCTTTGTCTCTTCTTCTTGTTATATCTCCCTCTCTCCCCCGGTTGTGTGTTTGGGAGGAGACCCACTTTAATTTGTGTGAAGATGTTGATTATTTAGAAATACCATGAAGTAAAGTCATGACAACCTTTAGCCTGCGTCATAACATCACTGTTAGGAAGCAGAGAGAGTGAGGCAAAGAGGCGAGAGAAGTGTTTTTTATTTTTTTAACTCTCTAACCCTGTAGATGTGAAGGCTGTAAATAATAAATTATCATGTCAATAAAACATTACAGGTTCTTATATATTTCTCCAACGGTGAACAGAGACACACCAAGTTTAAAAAAAGTCTCCTCACATCCTCTCTACTCTCTTTCTTTCCTCAACGCTTCCTTCCCTTGTTCTTTCTCTCCGCTGCTATGTACCTGTCATCTTCGATTCAAGTTTCTTCTCTGGTCTTTTGGGAGGAAAGGTGGCAGAAGAGCGAGGGAAAATAGGGACAGCTGAGGTGGAGGATGGATGGAAGCCCATTTTACATAAACTCAAACTGCTCAGTGGGGCTGTTGGTGATTATCACCGCACAAATGGAGAGATATTATATTTCCTTCCACTCCGTCATTTGTCACCATTCATATTTTTCATCTTTAGTTTTTCATTGGCTTTGTTGCAACATTGGATTTTGTATGCAACACCTGCTGGCAGTTTGGCATGAAAGAAAGATGGATGTTTTTTTATTTCTCCGACCTCTGTTTTTTAACTCTTCCTTTGTTCATTTCTTTATCTTTCCTCTGTTTGTGTCTTCTTTCACACTCACTCTCTTTCTCTTTTGCACTTACAGTTTCTAATATCTGCCTCCATTTTTAGTGCATTGTTTCCCAATAGAGTTTGTCCATTTAATTAAAAGATTAACACTCTGAAAAGGAAGGAAGGGATTTAGCTTAGGTCTGGTAGCCACGCAGCAAGGTCAGTTCATTACAAGGAAATGAGGAAATAACTCGTTGCTATCTGTAACAGCACACCATTAATACTCGAGCACAAACAGCAGCATTCAGGTTTATTAGTTTGGCGGTAGACATGATCTGAGGCAATGTGGCACTTGCACACACAAAATCTAAGTTTTAAACTCATATTTTCCTGTTGATTTTAATTTTTGTTATGGGTTTTTTATTATACTTTGTAAATTGTATTTGTCACTGTCTCCTGGACGTGCCAGAAAATGTGCGGATGAGAGCGGCGTTAAGGTGCCACCACCTTTCTGGTGTGTGCTGCAGATTCTACGTTCACTCCATTCAGTTCAAATGTGGCTCAGCATAAATATTACATGAGTGGTTTTATAAAAGCAACAAAATGCAATGAGAGATCAAATGAAATGAGAAATGAGAGATCAAAAATGAATGAAATGGACAGATAACCTTTTCTTCCTTTTTTCTTCATCTGTTACAATTTCTCTCACTCTGCCACCTTTTCTTTTTCATTCAGCAGCTCTCAAACTTTGAATAAAAATAACCGATAACCTTTTCTCTTTGTCTTGCTTTTGTTCCCTTTCTCTCTCGTCCTCCTCCCTCTTCGTCCTCCATCTATATTTGTGACTTAAAAACAACAGTTTATCTCATGCCTTCCAGTGTACACAATAATGATCATTTTGACAATCATGCTTTTCAACATTTTTAATAGATCCTTGCACAAGTAGCTAATGATCTTTGCCTTTTGCTCTCTGCCCTCTTTTTGTCATCAGTTTCCGTGCACTTCTTTGCACACCACAGTCTTATCATCGATCCTGCCTGTAGATCTGTAGTTGGTGTTGTTTAGATTGAAGGTTTCTGCTTATTCACAGAATTCATAGAGCAATATTTAGTTTATGCCATGATTCATTTATTATATTGCAAATTCTTTTTATTGCCGAGAAAAAAAAGGATGTACTGTAGCTAACTGTGCAGCAACGAAGCTGCCAGTGCTGCTGTCCATTCCTATTATTCTTGATTGACGCTGTTTTAACAATTTCCTTCTGTCTCTGTCTTACTCTCCCTCTGTATTTCAATAGTAACCTCCTGTCCAACCCGTATGTGTGTGACTGTCACCTGTCCTGGCTCGGTCAGTGGCTAAAGAAGACCAGGGTGGTCAGTGGAAACCCTCGCTGTCAGAAACCAGCCTTCCTGAAGGAGATCCCCATCCAGGATGTGGCAACCCCTGACTTCACATGTGACGGTGAGCCTCTCACTCTGTCCCTTACAATAGAATAATTGTTTTTTGCTTTAATTCCATAGAAACAATTTCAAGTATCAGGGCTTAGACATAATCCACGAATTAACAACACACAAGATGCGGCTGTAAATCCCATATGTATTTGAAATGACACAGGATTGTCTGTAAGCCACAAAGATGACGGCCTGAAACAAATGATGTGTCAGTCCACAGCCATGTGTCCTCCACAGATAAGACTATGAGTCAAGTGATTGAAAGGTAACTGAAATGTCTTTGTATCCTGTTTACTCATCCTTATAACTGAGTGAATTCTCCACCTTTTAAAGAAAGAGGGTAATGTCCAATACACAACTTGTAGAAAGTCCATTGTACGATACGAAGCTCAGTCAGTGGAGGAAAGTAAATAAAAGAGTCCAAGTGAAACCAAGAAATGTCTGCTGCAGTGCAGCATCAGTTACAGAACAGAAGAGAAAGGTCAGGAGAGAAAACTCTGTTCCATGTTACATCCACATGATTACATAAGGGTTTTTTCCCAGAGCAAGTTGTAATGAGCGTGTTGAGGCGAGGCCCTAATTTCCAAATCTCCCAAAAGAGAAAAGGGAAAATCAATTGTTCACAGAGGGAATTGAGTGACATCACAGTGGAATCTTGCAACACCCTCAGGTACTTCACGTCTTCTGGTTTGTTATGGACTAAAGTCAAAACAGTTTGGATTCTTGTCTTTGTGTAACAGACTGTCCAGATACTCATTCCAAAAACGTCCATTATGGGATAATGTTAAGTCAGCAGATACACACACACACACACATGCTCGGCCGGGTATTGTGAGGACAGAATGATCAGTAACCACTGGCTAACAGCAGCCGCGGATGACATCAGCTTGTGGTTTTTACAGTGACGTTGCTGTTACCAAGGCGATGCCTGCCTATAGCTACTTAGGACCTCGGCTTGGTCGCCAAAATTTGACGCCATAAGCAAAGCGTGGTCTGGCTCGCCCGTCTGTTACATCTTTCTTTCTTCCCCTTTTCCCACTTTGTTCTGTGTTTATGGCTTCACACTTGAAACTCGCCCTCTCTTTCTATCTCGTTCTCCGTCTCTCTCCCTCCTGAGTTTCTTTGCATTCATTACACTTTTCTAATTTCCTGTAGCTGAGCTGCAACCATTTACTGAAAATGAGTTTGGAAAGTAGTTAGCTGAGTTGGCTCAAGTGAGGAAATGCTTTTGTATCAGATCTTAATATTTATTGTTGTATCTCACACACACACACACACACACACACACACACACACACACACACACACACACACACACCTTCAAACTCACATGCACACACTTGACTTTGTAATGGTTAAGACTGGTATTTCTGTGGACCTTACAAACATATCATATACATATACCATGTCCACAGAAAACTACTCACATTAAATGCATCTTATATATCAATTCTCTGACACAGTTGAAATTAATTTGTTATCATAGATTTAATGAATAAAGACCATTCTCCTAAAAATAATTTTTTTAGGATTCGCAAAATTGCACCAACATCAAATCATTTGTTCTTTGGCTGATGTTTTCACAAAGGATTGATTGACTAAGACCAAGCTGCTACATCACCTCTTGGCGACGCTGAAATGTCCAGAATCTGAAATTGATTGTCAAAAGAACAAAAGCACAGAAACGCACACTCATGTAGAACCCAGGGTCCCTGTGTCCGGTCCATGTAAAGTTGAATAAAATGGCTGTTGAGTTGTCCCGAGACAGCCGAGGGAAAGGTAAAGTTAATTGAATTTGTGAGAAGATATTTAGCACAGATTTAGATGTTAGTTCAATTAGCCAACTGTAGAGTGGGTCAGCCCGCGGCAATACATCCCCGTGGACGCGCTACACAGCTACACACTTTCGATAACACACACAGACATATACATGTGTGCACACCGCTCCGCGCAGGGACACCTAAGCTCCCATTTATTAGATATTTCGACATAAACACATTTAGAAATCTACAAAGTGAATGAGAAAATGGCCATAGGACAGAAGGAGATTGCAATTTAACAAACGGAATGTGCACCAAACTCTGCTGCACATTCACCTACACTCACCCGCACGTGTAAGGATGTGGCAGCGTATTGGCACAAAGGCAAAAACAGCAAAGTATGAACATACATGAGCAGAAACCTGGCTGTTCTCTTTCTTGTTTCACTTTCCTTCACGCACACACAGACTCAGATTGCAGTTGTGTTGTTATTGGCTTAGTGTCCACTCTTCATTATCCCTCATTATGGTTTTAACTCAGCGTGTTTTACATTTGGGACCGCAGTTCAACTATTTACAAAAGGCAGCGCTAGATTAAAGCTGAGTGTGTGAGTTTGTCTGTCAGTCAAGAAAATTGATGCAGTTTCAGGCCAAGAACAACGTTCAAGTCTCTGATCCGTCTTATCTTGTAGTGTTAGAATGATTACGATCATTCACAGGGGTTTCCGTGCGTGCCATGTGTGTGAATCATAGTTGCGTAGTCTAAACAGTTTTTTAAAGATGAAACGAAAGAAAATTAGCATTTACAAATTGCCCGTTCTTTAATCTTTAATGAAGAAGTCTTAAATGGTTAAGGGTTTAGATAAAGATGAAGTCATGCTTCATGTAGGAAAACTACGATTTCTTTTTAACTGAAGGACTTCTACCTCTTGGCACGACGCAGCAATGCAGGAGGGTTACTGACAAATGACTGCAGCATGTTGCAACTTTTATTTTGTGGCTGTATTTACATGAGCTTTCAAATTTGTTTTCAAAGCCCATCCTATCAACATCTGTTCAGTATTTCTCCACAGTCATCTGAAGGGTTTTAATATTAGCCTACTGCGACCTGCCTGCAGGTCCTGAGCCAGATGTTGAAGCACAAGTGCAGCTGATTTAATGGCCTCTAGTCATTTGATATGGATTATAAATTACTCATGAAAAGAGCTTAGTCTGGAATTAACTCTTCCTCTCTATCTTTTCCTTTATCTCTTCTTTGCTCTCTCCTTCTTTTGCCCTTGCCTCTCCCAACCTCTATCTTTCTTTCGTTCTGTTTTATTTCCTTCCCCCTTTCTCTTACTCTGTTGCCCCTTTTTCTCTGTGTCATCTCTGTCCGCTCTTGAGTTTCTCTTTCCTTGTCTTGATCCCTCTCTTCCTTCTCTTTTGTCTCTCTCTAATATCCCTCTCTCCGTGGCTCTCTCTCTCCAGGTGCTGAGGATAATGGTTGTCTTCCTGCGTCTGGCTGTCCTGACGCTTGCACGTGCTCAGACGGCGTGGTGCGATGCAGCAACAGAGGGCTGCACTCTCTGCCCAAGGGCATTCCCAAGGACACCACCGAGCTGTGAGTCATGCATGCATGCGCACGCACACACACAAACACACACACACAAACACACACACAGAACGAACTCAAACACAAGGATCTATACTTGTTCAAATATACAGACACATAAAAACTGGTGAATGTAACAGCAAACATCTTCTTGCACATAAACAAAACCGGGTATTTTGTCCCCTACAACCACACACAGAGTCTCAAACACACACACATCACACGTTGCTGCAGTGCAATATTGATGCAGCAGTTTGCCCTGTGCTGCTTCAGGTTCTAACAAAGCATCAGGTGAAAAAACACCCACACATGTGCACAAACACACACACACACACACTCACACATTTATATTCTCTCTATATTCCTGTGACTTAATGGGTTTATACCTGCAGTGTACTCGCTGCAGGTATATGTGTGTTAATGTGTTTGTTTAGATGTTGATGTCAAGAATCTATGAGTCACCACAGATATTGAGAATATATTTACAGTATATATACACGCAGTCCATTATTGTCTAATGTGCAGTATTACAGAAAACGGTAGCTACAGTTCACTTTTTACACTTTTTAAAAGCTTTGCCAATAATTCATCATGTATTTGTTTTATGATTTCCCAGAATATTACAACTTGTAAATCGTTTTGTCTTTAATTTTGAGACAGTGAAAGATAAAACATTTTAAGAAAGATGCCAATAAAGGACATTCCCATAATGCCGAATTTGATGTCGTATTATAAAAACGTGTAACGAAGTGAGATTTGGGAAATTTTGAAAAGTGAAGGAACAAAATCTCTGTAAGGAAAGGTGGATTATTACTCACACACACACAGAAAAGCCTCTAGCTAAGAAATAGGCCTGCTCTGTGGGGTCAATAGCAGTGATTAGGTATTGATCAAACTGAAGAAGATGCTCCATCATACTGTCCACATGACCTACTTATGACCTGAGAGAGTGAGGAACACAGACCAGTGGATCATAAAATGTGTGAGTGTGCATGTGTGTGGAGTTTGTTAACTTGCTGCTCACATCCTGAAGGTGTAATGAATTTATAGTGGTTGGATTGCAGTATCTGTTGAAGGCTTCTCCACTGGAAGAATCTTACACTTATGCAGAAAATGTTGCATAGCTGCAAGAAACATTCACCAGAGTATAAGCAATCATAAGGTGACATCAGTGTGAACAAAATGAAAACAAACATTCTGTCATAATAGCATCACAGTCACTCTCCTGGTTATACTGGTTGGGGAAAATGCCATTAAATAACTAGAAGGGGAGTGAGAGAGCACATTCCTCCACCAAGGCTAATGCCCCATCTTAAAGAAACCTCTACAAAGTCTCATGGAAATCAGTCAACACGTCATGATCCTCTTTGCTGTGCCTCTAAAAGATGAATTCTCTGAATTTCTCTTGCAAAAAAGTCAGATGAAAATGTTGCAATTCTCACATCTCATGTAGAACTACAGGAATTAGTTTAGCTGAGATAAAGACTGGAAGCAAGTTTTTCTATGAGGCTGAAACCTGCACATACCAACACCTGTAAAGATCATTTATTGAGATGTTGTGTTCCTCCATTCTGTCATTGCTTCGTCTTAATGTAGAAACTAAAATATAAGAGTGTGTTCGTGTGTGTGTGTGTGCGCAATACATCCTACATTAACTATGCACCTTTTTCCTTGCAGTTACCTGGAGGGTAATATGCTGACATCTGTGCCCAAGGAGCTGGCATCCCTGAAGCAGCTGTCACTGGTGTATGTACTGTTCACGTACCCTTGACAAGAATACACACATTAGAATGTTGTGCAGACTGTTTAAAAACCCCATCATGTATATATATATATATATATATATATATATATGTGTATGTGCTATGAACGGCTCGTTTGTGTTTGTGTGTTTACTGTATGTTTGTATCTACACAGGGACCTGAGCAACAACAGCATCAGCACACTGGCCTCGTACACTTTCAGCAATATGACGCAGCTCGCCACACTGTAAGTTACTACATCATTAGTGTTTACTTCTCTTAACTGATTCATCCTCTCTTTTCTCTTATGTTTTCTTTTTTAGCTTTTCCACCTCTGTCCTCCAAATATCTCTTCACTCATCTTCTAGCCTCTTGTCTTCTGCTTGCATCTTCCTCTTGTAGCATCCTCTTCCTTCATCTCTTTCATAATATGCACAAAGCTCACAAAGATTCATTTTAAGATTCCATCCACACTGCATTGTTTACTTTTTAAAAACATCTCCGTTGCCACCGTTACTCTGCACTACTCTGGAGTTTTCTGTCCTGATTGATTCTTATTTGTCGCAGCTCAACTACCATTGGTGAAGGCAAAACGTTTTTAACATTCTCAGTCGGTACAAGAAAAGAAATTCCTCATCATACTTTTTGCCATTGTTGTTTCTGGTTCGTAGTATTTTCTGTAACTAAGCAACAATCTGCTTCCCATGCCCCAGTGTGTGAGAATTAGACAGTGGATATCTGACCCTGACCTCGTCCAGACCTAAAGGGTCGGGCTGTGTTCAGATAAAATGTTTTGAAATTATATTTAGGCTTGGGTTGGGTTCGTTCACATTGGATTAGATTTACTTAATTTTTGGTGTAATCGGTGAAACACTGGGTTGATAAACAAAAAGCAGAACGCCTGTCAGGGTTGGTCAGGTTCAGACAGAGAAGCCACACTCTAGCACGAGTGATATTATGATTTAATTATTACTGATATGGAGCTAAAATGCTGTTTCAAAATGAAAACACTGGTGTGGATGTAGCCTCAGTGACCCTGCTGAATTAAAATCTGCTCCTCAGCTCTGTTTGTCTTTACTCCCATTCTTTTTACTTTAAACTTATTACATGTATTAAATGTTTTTCACATCAACTGGCTTGTGTGTGTCCAGGGAAGGTCGACTGAGCACATTTGCTCTTATCCATCCTTGTTTCATATTTCATACAGTTGCACTGATGCACACCCGGGAGCTGCCCAGTGCAACCACAGACCTCTCCTGTTAGCCCCCAGATAGCATCGCTGGAACACTTTCTGTGTTGAGCGCTTTGCTCAAGTATACGTTGCCAAGAGTTCACATAGTGGAGGTGGAGGAGAATGTTTCACTTTCCACATTGGTTTTTCCAGCCTTTTAGTTAATCTGTGGAGTTGCTGGCTGTGAGGATTGTTTCTCTAACGTTTAACAACCGGTTGTTAAACGTTAGAGAAACAATCCAAAGTTTGACGTCTAAAAGATCTAAAAGATTTCCCCTCTTTCCTCTGAGACGCTTTTACGCCTCTCGATAATCAGTAGGTGTGATTATGTTGAGCCTCATTAGACAAAACCTGCTGAGAATCAATGTTGTCTTAAAGATACATATCAGGCTTGAACCACAGAGTGTATGTAAAGATCGACGACATGAGGGCTCCCCAAAAATGAACCACCTGGTGGTGTGTTGCAGTACACCTACTCCATGTTAGTGGATGGGACACGGACCAAACTAAAAGGTCAAGGTACACATCAAAAAATAAGTAGACAAGGAGTTCTTGGGATATTTTAGCTTCATTTCTAGATAGTGGGAGGAAGTGGAGACACGTCGTCCATCTTTATTTAAAGTCTATGGCTTTTTACACAGGGATCATTATCAGATTAAAAGAATTACAGCAGCCTGGAACAACCAACTGCATTTAATTTGAACATGAGTGGAATTCTGGCCTTGAAGGTTTTTTCCCCTTTTTATTAATTTATAAACTTATTTTGGTTCATTAACAGTTTTAAAAGAGGAAAACATAACTGTTGTGTGGGAGCTTGACATTTCAAACACGTCTGATTTGCCTCTAGCAGTTTTTTTTTTCACCTTTATCTAATTTTTCCACTTCATTAAACATTGTTAATTGTCCATTGTTTAACGTACATTGGCTACAGGTTTGTGTATGTCTGTTTTATCCTCTATGTGCGTTTATATCTATTTAAGGATATTGTCTAAAATATAATTAATGAATGTAAAATGTATATGTACAAGAGACCTAACATTTTTAAAAGCAACATCCTAAGTTACAAACTGTGTCTCCTGACCTTGTCCATGTCCTCTGTCTTTCAGCATCCTGAGCTATAACCAGATTCGCTGCATCCCGGTCCATGCCTTCGACGGCCTCAAGTCACTTCGCCTGCTGTGAGTAGCCAGCTTCATCTTGAAGTGCCGCAGTGAATTCAATATTCAACACTCCCTGTTGCTAGTTATAGTACTGAGTTAAATTAAAGTTTAATCACCCCCCCAGTGTCAGGCCACGTTAAGAGCCAATCACAAAAAGAGCAGCAGTCGTCCGATCATTTGTTGTTTCAGGGTACGGAAAGAGATAAAAGTGACAATCTCTCATCTCCTCTTTAATGCTCCCTCTGTGTCTGCATGCTGCGCTCCATCTCCCCCCCACTCTGTCCCTTCACTCTGTCTCTTCTTCTCTCTCCTCCATCCATCCTCTCCTCCTTTTCTCTCTCTCTCCGCCCAATGTTGTGTTTGATGAATCGACCTTCAGCCTCTGTGTCCTCAGTCATCCATCTGGTTGTCCACCCTCTGTCTCAGTAACCCACGCTCGCACGCACACACACACACATTGCACGTAAATATTGCTGTCTGGCCATCCACTCACACACACTCACACACACACACACACACACACACAAACACACATACACACACACACACACATACATACATTCATAAAAGTAGGTAAACACACATTATCATGAAAATACACAGAAACACAATTGCAACTTAAATGCTCATGGACGGATATAACTTTTGACTCTAAAACATGCTGCGTGTAGAATTTGCAATGTTTTCTTATCACTGTTGATTGAACAGTGATTTCTTGCTTTATTACATGAGTTTGGTTGAAATCATTTTGGTTTGTTCACGTAAAGGCTACGAGAACTACAACTACTACTTTTAAATATCAGATTTCTATGAGGGTAACTTTCAGCTGAAAACTCAACATGAAAACCTGAAATAACTGAGAAATCTGATTCCTGAGCCCTGTGTTCGTCTCTGTGGACATTTTTTCCACCTCGGTTTGTTCAGAGAGAAAAACTCGGCTTTGTTTCTGGCCTTTTCTCTGCGTATTGACTTTATCTTTTACCAGGCCTCCACCTTGCTGAAGTTTAGTGATCGCTTTTTTAAAATCCTTCCCTCCTTCCTTCCTTTCATTTTAGTTGATGTTGCCGTGGGGACTGCTCCCTCTCTGCCCCCGCATAGCAACTGGTTGCCAGGCAGCCATCACTGTCACTTCCTCATTACCCACAACCCCCCCTGGGCCAGCCTTGTGCGGGGGCTGTTAGACGACCATACATAGATGCAGGAACACACACAAAGATGCACACAAACATTTAAGACATTAAGCACACATATGAACATAAAGTTGTACAAAAGAGATCAGACACATACAAATATTTGCACATTACACACGAACACGAACACACTGATTTACACGCACACACGTACATACACACATGCACATACACTTTTCCAATAGTGGCGGTTTGATAGCTGAGCTGTCCCCTGCTACAGCCCTGTGCTCTAATGGAATGTGAACTTATATCCAGCAGGCAACACACTTAAATTGTGAGACACAAAGGACACACACACACACACTTCACACACACACTCACACACACAGTCTGCAGTCCTTGAGCCCTTGGAGACAAAAGTTTTGGACACACGAACACACACATCTAAGCATACAAACATGTTCATGAAAACCCAAAGGCACAAAACAAAAATACACTTCCTCACACTGATTCACATCACAGCCTGCAGTTTGTCCCTGTGGTTTTTTTCTACACACACACACACACACACACACCCACACACACACACACACACACACACACACACACACACACACACACACACACACACCACTGTCTGCTACAGGACCATGTGAGACAGTTAATATTCCATTCAGAGACCAGGACAAGCTTTATTGCCCAACAATGAAAATAAGCTTTCTGTTCATTTTGTGTTATTCTTTCATAAATAATGTATTTTTTTTCCATTATAAAAGGCGATGATAGTGTGTCTGGAGCTGAGGAACCACAAATAATTTAAATAATTTAGCAAGCAGCAAGTCTGAGTCGGACCAGTTGTATTATTTTTCTGGAAGTCGGGTATTAGGCCGCAGGGCCGTCGGTTTCATTTAACTCTAATATGATGGATGCGATGCTGAAAATATTCATTGTTTGATTTGTAAACTGTGTATTGTCATCTGTGGACATGATGTTAACACAGCTTCAAGGTTTTGATCTAAGTATAAAACAGTTAGTTAATCTCAGCAGCGTTGTCACGATAAGTAGAGTGGTAGTAAAAAGCAATGACGGCAGCATTATCCAGAAGTGCAGAAGATGAGGAAGGAGGAAGAACCGTCCTGGGATTAATCAGTTGTGCGGTTTCACATTATTTTCTTGCTGCAACAAAGTAAATGCTTTATCAAATTAATTAGTTAATTACACAATAGAATTAGTCACACAATAAAAAGAGTCAAAAACGACCTCTTGAATATTTAACAAGGTCATAATTTAGTTTAACATCCATGTAAACTCTCCTCTCCTCCAGGACTCTCCATGGTAACGACCTTTCAACTATCCCAGAAGGAGCTTTCAACCACCTCACCGCTCTGTCCCACCTGTAAGTACGGCTCCATATGTCTGTTTTTGTGATTTGTATGTTGGATGTAAGTGTTGTGGATTGTCCTGTAATTTGTGTGTTTGTGTGTTTAGGGCTCTTGGTGCCAACCCCTTGTACTGTAACTGTGACCTGCGCTGGCTCTCTCAGTGGGTCAAGGCTGGTTTTAAAGAGCCAGGTAAGGAGAATTATCAAGATGTCATCGAAACACATATGAACAACATCTCATTTAATGAAGAACAAGACAAATTGTCATGTATGTTTTGCATCATCTCAATAAATTGTACTTTTGAACAGGAATTGCTCGTTGTACTGGACCTCCTGACATGGCTGACAGGCTACTGCTCACCACACCACTCAATAGATTTCAGTGTAAAGGTAAATAAGAATAAATTAGATCAAACCAGAAGAACCTCACATCATCACCTCTTCCTCTTTCTTATACTGGCCTCTGGAACAAAATCTAATTTCTTGTTCTCCTGAGCTCTCACTTTCCTTCCCCTGTGAGGCCTTCTCTCAGCACACACTCCATTAAATGAAGTCTGCAGCAGTGTGTTTAGTGCTGCAAAGTAAATATGTATGTCTTTTCCGCTGACACTCCTCCGCTCCCTTTCTGCTGTCTTATCTCTATCCCTCCATTTCCCCACATTCTCGTCCTGCTCTCATCTGCCTCTGTTTGTGTTATCTCTCTCAGGTCCTGTAGACATCAGCCTGATGTCAAAATGCGTCCCCTGCTTGGCGGCACCGTGCCAAAACAATGGTACCTGTGTCTCTGAGTCGACTGGAACTTACCACTGCACCTGTCCATATGGATTCAAGGTGAGAATAAAGGGAGCAGAGGGAGATACTTTTAAATATAAGAGGGATATAATACTTGTTCTTTGTAAACAGTCAATCTCAAAAGCACTAAATTTTAAAGATATCAGAGTGAAACTGCAAATTTGGCGATCGATATTTCCTTTAAACTCTCGGAGCCAACTGGCTGTCGTCTGATAATGACTTAGCCTCTGGGGGTCACAGTCAATATTTTTGGGCTTCCGGTGCAGACGCAGATATCTGGGCCACAATCATATCAGTTTCTTTTATCGCACAAATTGAATATTTTCTTTTTGTAGGTGTTTTAGGTCCGGACAATGTTTTGGCTAATCTCTATTAACAGCTACATGCATATGAATACAGATAAATTAAAAAGCTGATAGCCGATGCATTTCCTTTAATTTGTTCCGCCCCATTTGCTCTCCACACAAACTGTTCACAAACGCAGGAGAAATCAGTGCTTTCACCCTGACGATGTTGCCGTTTCTTGTTCCCTTGTGGCTTTCACCTACACTGTCAGCTCGCCAACCATTATTCAGTGGTTCATCAGTATTTTAAAGCTTCTGAGTTATGGAATCAAACAGCCAAGGCAGCAGGGGAACAAATTTAACTTATGCTAGAATTGGCTGCGTGTGTGAAGAGTATCCTTGATGGATAGCCATGCTGCATAAGCTTGTGGCATTAGCAGTATTATCAGGCTTAGCTTTGGCCTTGCATGCATAATGTACCTGTCTGTTCATCAATAGAGAAATGATTTCTCCAGCTGGCTGCACTGGAGCTATTGACTGATCAAAAGACAACTGGTATAATAATTGTCACGACCCGTCAGGGCTCCAGAGTGCAACCATTTTGGTACCATATGCAAATAATGCAACTAAACTGATATTGTACAATGAAATACTCTTAGAGGAATTGATATTTAATCGAATCTGAAATCGAATTGAAACCTTGTGAATTGGAAACAAATCGATTTTTGAAATCAGCAGTGATACCCAGCCCTAGTTAAAAAATTACCAATATATATGGCAACTGTCAAGAGAAGGTCTATTGTATTATTGCAGTGCCAAAAGGCACAATGAAAAAATGTGGGTGCATCTAGATTATATGCTGGTTATGCACCAGTGGAAAGATTTAGTCTGTGGCCATCCCCCTGCGTTAGACATGCAAACCTAATACTATGAGGGTGATTTGCAATGGAGGCGTGTGTGGATTATATGCAAACGTGTATCGCGTGTGTCTGTGTGTGTGTGTGTGTGCTTGTGCTTGTGTTTGTGTTTGTGCAAGCACTTTAAAGATACACTTGTGATCTCATGTGCACAGACACCTCACAACCTTTTACAGGAGGACAAAGCCTTCGTCTCGCTTTTAATTAAAACATCACTTGCCAAGGTCACAGACCATGAAACAGGGACTGTGTGTGTGTGTGTGTGTGTGTGTGTGTGTGTGTGTGTGCTTGTGTTTGTGTGTATGTATATATCTTTATGTATGTTTTTCTTTCTTTGACGGTGCCCACTGAGAAAACATTAATTAAAATGTGTTAGAGAAATCAAAGAAGGAGCAGCAGAGGACAAAAGATGGAGCGGGGGAAGGAGAAAAAGAGAGGGAAGACATGAGGGCTTCGTGGAAATTTAAACTATAAGAGAGAAAGAGGTGGATACCTACATAAGGGAATAAAAAGCAATGTAGCAGGAAAGGTGGTGTGAGAGAAATACAGAGAAAACTAATAGTGAGAAAGAAGAAGGTTGAATGAAGAAAAAGTGCGAAATGAAACAAAAGAGCCATGCAGTAAAAAAGAGAAAAGAGAGGAGTAAGTAATGAAGATGGATGGGGAGAGAAAACAAGAGTAAACATCTGAGTCTCAGCCTTGATCAGGGGAAGTATGTGTGTGTGTGTTGGTGGCCAAAGGTTTGGTGGTTGGAAATTAAAACAACAGCCTCAGGGTTCAATGTGGAGCGAGTGAGATTCCAAGTGAAAGCTGTTTATTCAGAAAACAGGTGTGTGTGGTTAGAACAGTAATGAATCAAAGAAGTCGGCTGTGGCACACGTTCATCTGAGCCCGTATAGTGTGTGCGTACATAATGTACATTTGTGAATGTTGTTAAAGGTCGTTATGTGTATTTGTGAAAGAAAGACAGACACAGAAACAATACTGTGAATTGAATTGATTGATGAATTGCTGAAGTTTTGAATTAATCAACCAGAATAGATTTATTCAACCCTCGATCTCTCTGCAGGCTATTTTCTTTCATCGCAACTAACATATTCAAAGATCTGTGACCCTAAAGCTGAAGAATTTAAGTGCAAAGAAAAAATAACAACTTTAGCTTCTTAACTTGTTTTTAAGAAGACAAATTGATATTGTAAAATAATAAAACACAACATCCATTGGTTGCAATATTCGTTTTATCATATGTACAGTTTATAATTAAACAGGAAGGAGCTCTTTTTTGGCAGAAACTATAAAATAATATACTTAATTGTTCATTCGATTCCTCATCAGCTGTATTCAGTGTCTGTGGTAGTGGGCGAGTACTTTTACTCCTGCACCCTTGGGCACCCATCAGTAAGACTTCTTTTCCATCATTAGCAAGTGGCTTATTACTTCTTCTGCTTGTTGCACGTCCTTGTAAAAGGCGATGAACACCATTAAGGGAGAGGAGAGTGTAATAGTGAGCCAGAGGGAGGAATCATCTCCCTCATCCATAACCACTGCGTCAGCGAGACTGTGTAAAAGACGTTTTTTAGTCGTGGAAGGGCAGAATAAAAAGACAATTCCTGCATTCACTTATTAACGTCTTTTCTTCTTTGTCTTCTCTTCTTCTCCAGGGTCAAAACTGTGAAATACCCATCAACGCCTGCATTAGTTTCCCCTGCTCGAATGGAGGAACCTGCCACATTCAGCCTGGCCTAGACGACCACTTCAGGTACGACAATATCTGTTTATGATAAGTGGGCGGCTGCGGCTCAGGGGGGAAGAGCGGGTCATCCACTAAAGAGAAATTCAGGGGTTCGATCCCTGGCTCCTCCAATCTGCATGTCAAAGGATAGAATAGATAAGCGCTGTGTGTGTGAATGAGTTCATGTGGCTTGTTATATTCAGTATTTTTGTGGTAACTGAGACTAGAAAAGCACCATATAAATACTAACCTTTTACTCATATATAAAATAGTACTTTTCCGTCTTGTTCTGTTGCATATTTCAGTTTCAAACACAGCAACTCTGTGCTCCTTCCCACAGACTAACTTTTCTATTTGAAACCAGCAGTACAACCATTATTCAGTCCACATATTGCATGTAGAGTAAGAAAAGAACAAAAAAATAGGAGTCCTTTGAGAATCCTTCGAAGCTCTGGGTCAAATCTCATTGCCCTTTCTACCCTGTCGCCCCTGTCTCTATTAGTGGCTGCGTTTTAAACAGCTTACCATGTATTCTCATCTGAAAGAAAAATTAACCTCACTCGGCCCCCAGAAATGTAGACGTCGTGATTGGAGCGGACAGTCGTGCTCCGCTGGACAATGCATTACCCGCGATAAGAACTTGCTGTGACCTTATGATGTGTTTTCCTTCTTATGTGTGTTGCGGGGGGGGAGGGGGGTTTGGAGCTGTGGGGTTAGACAGGAAAAGAGGGGACATTTCAAAGGAGCAAACCCCCATCCGGGTTGCTCATTAAATCCCTGTGCCCTCTGTGACCCGCTCAACAGTGTAAAGAGGAAACTTTGAACTTCTGTCATTATTCACATCAGTGTTTCTACACACACTGTTTTCATACGCTACATGTGTTTTAATTTTTTTGACGTCATGTAAAGGGGATTCTGAGTTGTACTTTTTTGTTGTTTGACGGGTATTTGATTTATGAGCCACAGAAAAACTTCATGTGTGAACACAAAGCTGTGTGTGTATGGGCCTCAGCTACTGTGACTTCCCTTCATTGAACCTTCTGTTGCAAGAAGTGTAAAGAAGAAAATGCACACGTGAACATTGAATATATATTATTATTAATATTAAAATATTGAGTACAGATACTTATACTGAATCTATCACTGTTTGAGTCTTTGCAAAAGTTGACATAAAACACTCAACAGGGTATATGTATGTAATGTTGACATGGGTCATAATCAGACTATGTTCTTTACCTGCTGAACAGGAATATAAATATTTTATGAGCAATTCATGTAAACATCATAATTGAAATAATGTCTTGTAATGTCAAAAAGGTCAATTGTCAGTTAATTCGTGTCCATGTAAATATAGTCACTGATTCTTTGCCTTCACATGAGTTCACAATAACGTTCAGAGGAAATCATCACTGTATTCAAAGTGAGAGGATACTTTAAAAATACTGTTCACTGCATTGGTACATTCATCCAGGGAAAGTTTGCAGAACACACTCGCTCCTTTGCAGGAAGTAGCTGCTTCACATTCATATGGTTTCACACATTCACACCTGGGAGCTGCCCAACACAATCGCAGTGTTTGACTCCGGGCTTTGGAGCAGCTCCACTGGAGACACTGTGGGTCAAGAGCGTCTCAGTGGCAGTTGTTGAGTGAGTGGAGAGCAGAGCTTCACTCATTTGCTTTCCTGCACTTTCCATCTATTCCCAGCTGATCCAGGATCTCAAACTTGTTTTTCACACCTCTAGGCTACTGTTGCATTTTTTGCAGAATCTGACAGCTTGAAAACACAATGAATGCTTCACAGATTTGTGAAAGAAATCTTGGCCTTGGCCTAAAATATTTAACATTGAACTCCCCCGCTCTGTCATCTGATGACTAATCCCTTTTGAACCGACAAACTAAAACAAGAGCGTCAAAAATTAATTTGGAAATTGCCAAAGGACAAAATATAACTGGTAGAAAACCACAGACCAAAGTAGTAAGAACCAGTTGTTTAGAAGTGCGATAAATTAAAAACAGATTGTATGTAGTCAAGTATGACATTTTAATTTAATACACAAAGCCATTTTATCTATTAAATTGAACCCAACCACATTTAATATGCTATTTTACACCCATTAAAAAACTCTTTGAAAGGCCAAGGAGGCAGCTTTGGTAGTGTTATTGCATATATTTAAAAGATTGTATTGAAATTCAGTCTGCACTTGTAATAACTGCTCATACTAGTACATATATTTGTCTGTGCCTTGCTTGATTGTGTCTGCCAGTGTCGTCAGCATCTCTCAAAAAGTCCCTCTTCGTCTCAGACTCATGACAAACAGACACTTTGAATATAATTAAACTGTCGTTAACAATATCATAAGCAGGTTTGTCTCTTGCTCCAGCCTTTGCCATTTCAAAGGCTTTCGTATGCGCCTGGCCTTTACCGTCCTACATGGTAATGCAATCACGAGTCTCTTTACCCTTTACAGCTCTTCTCTTAATGTTAATAGCAACACAGGTAGATATTTGTGCCCTCTGGGAGACACGCAGGAAGCGAGGGACACCTGTGCCCTTTGACATTTACATGTTATATAATCAGTAGGAGATATTCAATAAGTCCAATTAGCCTCAGTTCTTAGCAGAGACCCATTTGTCAAACTCTTCTTTAAATGTCAAAACTGGGATTTGATTGGTGGAGCAGAGCTTCCTGACCCTGTCAGTGCTGCCAGGGCTCTTCTCATTAATTTTTATTTGTCTTTTGTCCCTCATGGGAACTCTTCATGTCTTTTTCTTTCCATCTCTGTCACTCCTGTGCATTTGTTGTTCTTCTTTTTTGCTCTTTTCTTTTCTTCACTTTTTCAATCAACACTGAATCTAAACACGTTAAGTTTCATGGAAATGTATTTCAAATATTTTTTACGTAATCCTGCTCACAAATAAATCAGCCAACCAACAAACGAATAAAAACATAACCTCCTTGGTGGATGTCAAAACGAGAGTGGATATTGCAGTCAGACTCCAAAGGGATGCTCATGTTGATTTGTGTCTGCTGGATGACTAAGAATCCCACATGTTTGCTCAAATCTTACCCACAACAACGTCACTGACTCACTGTATCTCTGGAACATGGTTTGTTTTTGCCCCTTGAGGTCAAATTCTTCAATGCAGCCTGTAGATTTAGCCTCTGCAACCCAGCAGGCAGAGGGGGGTGGGGGTAACCAGTGACTATCATATATGGTGTGGGAGGAGGGAGTGAGGGAGTGAGGTAAGTGTTTGTGTGAGAAAATGTCTGCGTGGCACCAGAGTCAGATTAGAAAAGAGAGAGTGAAACAAAAGACACGAAGAAGGAGCTGAGGGGGGGAATAGCTTTTACAGGTGTGAGGGAAGTGGGAAGAACAGAGTGTGTTACAAATAAGTGTTAGTGTGTCTGTGTGGGTTGATAACTGTCACTCACTTGTGCTCAAATGAACTTTCCCTCGTTTGTCGTATTAAGTTGACCTTGCTGTAAAATTCTATTCATCTGCTATAAGACAGAAACTAAGGCTTCACCCACACGGCTACATTTACGTTTGAAATTGATCTACTGGAGTTTTAGAGCCGCTAAAGCAGAGTAGTTTGGTAACGCTGCTGTTTTTATTTTGTAAAGTCCGGGGCCTGCGTTTTGTTCAGGATGACCTGGAAGGGAGAGAAGCAATGAGGTAGACACTCGCAACCTCTCGCTGATTGGCTCTTTTCTGTCACAGCGTAGCCTTACACTGATCTTCAGGCTCCTATCACATGACGCCCGTCCTTTAGGAAAACCTCCAGCATAAGCCTCAGCTCCCAGTGTAGAACACAACATGGATAATCATTTACAAGCGTAGCTGATCCTGTTGTTTCTGAAAACAGCTGTTCGGTTAAATTCGATACAACTACTACTAACAACCAAATGCTTCCTGTTTACATCAACACGTGCATAACCAGTGTATGTGCGTGTTCAGGTGTGTTTGTATAGACAGGGATTCAAATTGATACGGAGCCAAAAGTTAACTGGACTGAGATACAAAAGAACTGGTGAGAAGCGAGGAGAGAGAAGAGGAGGTTATGAAAAAAAGGGTGATAGGATGAAGGAAGATGAATCGAGGGGAGGAAAGAGCAGGAGGCTTTGATAATTTCCTCTGAGCGCCCCAGGTGGGCGGTGTCCAACAGCAGCCGCATCAAACTAAGTTAATCTCAGCATGTTTTTTTTTCTTATCTCTGGGTGTGTTGAGTTTGATTTCAAACTGTTGTTGTTTTGTTGTTTTTGTACGTGAATAAAACCTCCCCGAACAGGAAAGACAGAGGTCACAAAGGGCTGTGTTTGAAAGCACCACTGTTTCTCTTAGTGTGTGGCACTAATAGTTTAAACTTTGAACAGCCAGGTTAAAATTGTATTTTTTCCATAAATTGAAGCTTGAAATGGTGTGTCCCGTTGGACCACTAAATATAGATATAATGCGGCTCCAGTGGTGTGTGAGACTCGGCACAGAATGGAGGAAAAACCCGCTGGAATCAAGATGAAACTGTTTTTATTTTCAGCTCTTACAGCAGAATTTAAGGGGAAGTGAAGCTGAGCAGCTGGTTGCTCTGGCTGATGGATTTTATTTATAAGTTGTGCAGAAGGAGTGTGTGCTCTGATCTGGCCCATGTCTCCATCTAACAATGCCCATTTTCTCTGTGTGTGTGTGTGTGTCTGTTTGTGTGTGTGTAGCTGTGTGTGTCCAGCCGGTTTTGAAGGCCATCGTTGTGAGTTGAACCCAGACGACTGTGAAGACAACGACTGTGAGAACAACTCCACCTGCATCGATGGGGTCAACAACTACACCTGCATCTGTCCACCCAACTACACAGGTACACACACACACACACACACACACACACACACACACACAGTGCCAATTTCTACACTCAGATATTTTGAGGTCGTCAGTCTTTGCCCCCTGAGAGGCCTCCACTATACTGCAAACAAATACACATATATACAAAATCATATTTTCCACTTTACTGGAGGGTAATTTAGTAATAGACAGCCTCTCCGCAGTGACCTGAAACTGTTCCTACAGGAGGTTGAAATAGCAATCACGAGAGAGAGAGAGAGAGAGAGAGAGAGAGAGGTGAAAAGAGAGAGGGAGAGCAACAGTAGAATGGCAAAGAGAGACTATATGTCGTAGAGGGGAGGAGAAAAATAAACAAAGCGATGAGAAGGGTAAAGAAGAGGCCAATTAAGAGCAGAGGCAGAGAGACAGAGACAGAGACAGAGAGAGAGAGAGAGAGAGAGAGAGAGAGAGAAGGAGAGAGACCTTGCGTGGTGAGTCCAGCAAGCAAGTTGAAGCAAAAGCGCTGACTGGAAAGTTAAGTTTTTTTGTGTGTGACAGTGTCCTCTAAGACACACACACACACACACATACACACACACACACACTGCTGGTCCCCTTTGACACTGGCTCTTTGTCAATATACACACACACTCACCCACACACGCACCATGTCATTATCGTTGTTGGCATAAGGAAGTCTCACACACTGCCAGCCACCTTACCGCATACAGCTGTTGCGCACACAAACACACACACACACAGACACACACAGCTGGCTCCTCTGGCTCTGAACCTCCGCTCCACTCAGTGAACCACGGCGTAATCATCAGGTGTCACATTAAGAGGACAGTCCACTCTGCTTTCTACAAACTCAGCAGCCAGGATTGTCACGTCATATTTGCACCACAGGGAATAAATCAAGATTAAAGGTCACAGGACCTTTTAAACAGCTGATATAAGGTTTCTACAACCAGGGAGTTTCATGCCAAAAGGAGAGGCACAGTTTTTCATGTAAAAAAAAACGGTCACGGGCCTGAATGTGCTCAACAAATTAAATGTCAGTGTGTCTTTTGGATAAATTAGCTTGTGTGCAATTTCACTCTTGTAGCTGGTAGGTGGTAAAGGGTCAGGAGTTCACAAGAACATTTGGATTCATTCCCTAGAGAAAATATATAAGAATAGTCGGGAACATAACTCTATATATAGAGCGAGAGAAATAAAAATGAAGACCTCTGCCTCTGCCAATGAGGTTATGTTTCGTTGCGCTACTGACTCGATTACCATGAATTTTTCTTTAGGGGTTGGTCATGACCCAAAAAAATACGCCATTCAATTTTAAATAAACAGGCGGATCCAGGATTTTTTTTTCACGTTTCATGTTCTTCAACATGGCAAGATAGAGCAAATATTCAAATGTAATATGATTCAGACTTCACTGTCAACAACAAGGGAATCGCCCATACCATTTAAATGCCAAGCTGTGAGTGTCTTTATTTTTATGGTAAAATTGACATTTTGAGTGAAATACTTCCGACACTGTTGATGGGATCATCACATTCTAACAAAACCTAAATGTGCACTTGCCTTAACTTGAACAGTATTTATTGGTTATTTAATCAAACTAAAACAGTCAGTCAGGCTGATTTGATATGAAGGTGGTGGAGAATAAAGCAGCAAGAGAACCATGGAAATGTGTTTGAACTTTCACTATGTGTCTGTGTGTCTGTGTCTGTGTATGTGTGTGTGTGTGTGTGTTTGTTTCCCCTGTACATTATCTGCAGCCTTCAACATGACAGACACATGTAAAGGATCTTTTTCCGCCCCATGTTTTCTTAGTCTGTTCTTTCTTTTCCACAAACATTTGAAACTAACGGTGAAAGAAATGTTTGACTTTGTTTTCCAGAAGATTCACAAGGTTTTTCTTTCGTCACTCTTTTTTCAAATCCGACACACCGGTAGTGAGATTCAGTGATGTCTTGTTCACCTGGTTGATTTCATAATCCTACGACCCTACACTCAAACATGTTGTTTTACTTTCCATGAGGACTGTCTTTATTCCAAAAGGAATACATTTCTCTCACTCTGTCACCAGGTGACCTCTGCGAGGAGGTGGTCGACCCTTGTCTCCATGGTTTCGACCCCTGTCAGCATGACTCAAAATGCGTCTATGTCGGCCGCAGTTACAGGTGAGTGACAGCTCCAAAGGAGGTCGGTGCTTAAAAGGGTCAGAGGTCACAGTGTTGAAAGTGACAACAAAGTGACAGGAGCAGTCAGGTCACAGAGTTAAAAGCTGATGTTTTTTAAACCAAAGGGAATCTTAGTGATCTTTGTTAAACACGGCCGTGGTCAGACAAATACACATCAAGACAGATGCACATAAACACATCACTGAGGAGGAAAGCTGTTGTGAGTAACAGTGATACACTTTAACACAAACCATATTGACTAAATACTTCATATGGCAATAATACAGTCATGAGCATTGTACACTGGTCTGTGAAAACCACCAAGTTTTCTGGTACAAACAAATGGAGACCAAAACAACCTTGTTTTCAGATATAACTAGAATGGCCTTCAGTAGAGAGCACACCTCTCTCTGACTTCAGCCTGTCACCTCTTTAAAACATCTGTAATCACGAAGCTATAAGCCTATTACCGACACACACAGTCATGCCATTCATATTCCCATGTCACTGTAGGTGCGACTGTTTGCCGGGATACGTGGGCCAACACTGCGAGCAGGACTATAATGATTGTCTGGAGAATAAGTGTCAACACGGAGCGGAGTGTGTCGACGCTGTCAACGGCTACACCTGCGTCTGTAAAGAGGGTTTCAGGTGAGAGTCATGGAAACAAATCACAGCAGGGGCCAGATTGGAAGGAGATGCAGAGGGTGATTCATTATCAAGCACTTGACTGTCTGGACCTTCTGCATGTGTGTGTGTGGTTAATTACAGCGTGTACTGAGAGAAAAATAGACAGAGGAAGGAATTTGCTGGAAATAAAGACAACAGGAAAGATACTGAAAGATATTGCATGGGCAAAAATTAGGAAATTCAACGGAAAGTTCAGAAGATCCAGGGAAAAACAAGTTGCAGATTAATGTTATGATGCTGATAAAACTTGTTTAATTCCTTCATATTATTCATGCAATCTCCACATGTAACGCCACAAGGCAAAATGCAGAGCAAGTACTGAGCAACTTTTATCAGAAGCTACTGACACATCAAACTAGCCAATTTAAGCTCTATAAATAAGTTATCTTCTGTTTAACCTCCTCCTCCCTCAGCGGGCTGTTCTGTGAGAACCCTCCGCCAATGATCTTGCTGCAGACCAGCCCCTGCGACCACTCAGACTGCCAGAACAGCGCCCAGTGCCTGTTGGTTGCCGGGGAGCCCGTCTGCCGCTGCATGCCCGGTTTCTATGGCAACAAATGTGACAAGTTGGCCACCGCTCACTTCCTGGGTCGCGATGGGTACGTGGAGCTGCCCGGTGTGAAGCTTCGCCCCAGCGCTCATATTTCATTGCAGGTATGGTTGTGCTTTTAGTTTAAAATTGTAAAAATCCAATTTTCATACAGCAATAACAGGAACTTCAGACCACCTTAATATCCTGCTTTCCTGAAGTGTTACTTTGCATAGTGCGGCTGGAAGTTTGAACACCCAAAATCCATATTCTGCTGCGCTACATGGAAAATGATTTTGGTCTGTTTAAAATAAATCTATAAGTCGCTCAATTTAAGCCTATAGAGTTGCACGACTTAGTGCCGACGAAGCAAAGCAAACATCTGCTACACCCTCTGTTTCCATGTTACACTGAGCACATACACACACACGCACGTGCATGCTCCCTCATACAGACTATATGTGTTGGACACCTGAGAGGCACGTCCTAATAGAGAAATATATTTTTCCATTAGGAAATGAAAAAGTAAGTGGGTGAAAGAGAAACAGGAAAAGGAGGGCAGGCTAATTGATATTTACCACCTGTTTGGACCTGTGTGAGGGTGTGTGTGTGTGTGTGTGTGTGTGTGTGTACGTGGGTTTCTGTGCTCCTGCCAGGAGCTTTCAATGTCAGTGCCAAGGCTGTTAAAACTCTACCAAGAGGCCCCGACTCAGAGGCAAGAGAGAGAAAATGAAAAAGGGCCACAGCACTTCATAAATCACTGTATGTTTTTTCACACTTCTTTCTTTTCTTTCAGTCTGCCCAGTTCTATCTTCACCCACTTCTCCAAATCTCTCTTCCCTTCCATCTCCCTTCCCTCTCTCTCTCTTTTGTTTTCTGCTCTTCTCCCTCGTTTTCTGCTCTCGGCCTCTTCTTCTCTCCAGCAGCTTGTTAGGAGGTGTTGACTTGTCTATGCTCCACTGAAGCCGGAGTGTTAAGTGCTTGGCCCCTTGGCCCCATTTCCACTTGCTAGTTAGTTAGCTCTTAGCAGAGCACACAAGCAAGTGTGACATGTCAAGTGTGCCCGTGTGGGAGGGAGGAGCGAGTGACCTTGTTTTGGGACGTCTGTGGCAGGATTTACATTTTCTCCTCATTTCTTATAGTTCTGCAGCGGTTTGACTTGAATCAAGAGTTTTTATTTCTCTTTGATTTAGAGCTATACGGCGCCTCATTGCCAGCTATGTAGGTTGGCAACATGTGAGGTCAAACAATCTGTGTGCTACAGATGCCACCGAGTTTCTACAACAAGCTGGTTTTTGTTATTTGTTAAAATGGTAGAAAAATATCCAGTGAACAGTGAAGCTGCTGTCAGACCTGCACTTGAATATTATTCTCCTGAAATTTTACTTCGGGGCTGTGACAACGCAAATGTCAGAGTCAGAAGCTCCAGACATTCTCTGCAGTTTTTCCTGCCAGCTCCCGAGTAATTTACTAAAAAATAGTATTTCACGCATGAGTATAATTTCTTTATTTAATTTATATAATCTTTATTTCTCAGGTGGCCACAGACAAAGACAACGGTATTTTGTTGTATAAGGAAGACCACGACCCTCTGGCACTGGAGCTTTACCAGGGACACATACGACTCATCTACGACATCGCCAACTACCCACCAACCACAGTGTACAGGTAGGCCGCCACTGTACTTATACACACAGTTCAATTAGTTATATTTTGCACTGGATTTAAATAATACAGAGGTGTGTGGTTAAAAAAAACTATACAAATACCACCAAAGAATTCAGGTTCAGCTCAGGTAAAAGATCACAGAAAGTCAACAGATTCATTCACACACATTCAACGTTTATTTCAAATTGATTATTTGTTTCCACTGAAGGATGTAACTGCACTATATGACATTCACAAGAAACAAGTGTTACAGAGGCTCAGGGTGGCAAAAGGGTAAGAATACAAAGATGTGTGCACACAGACCAACAAGCAAAGGGTCCAAGGTTCACAGGTTTCTTTAAACTTAGCGTTTTCTTTCTCTCACACGCACACACAGAGTTACAGATCCATATCTGAGCACCTCCCTCAACAAACAAACATGAACTTCCTTCACAATCCAGACCAGACAGTTGTGTCCTTGACAGAAACAAACAAAAGTTGATCAAACACTGGAAGCAAAAGCCTCCATTCACTCACTGTGAGTCTTGTATATCATACACCAAACAACGTTAATGGTTCCATGTGAATAGTTTGTGAGCTAAACAGACAGAAATGGAAAAAGTAACCAACTCATGATGATGTTTTTAGTTGTACCCTCATATATCCTTTTATGGTTTTTATGCAACATAAGTAGTTGTGTTACTTTATAAACAAACAAGAAAAAAATAATTAAAACAATGATCATATAATATTTGAGGCATTATATCTCCATCTGCAAAATATTTCCGTCATTGTGGACAGTGTCTGAGACGACTCATCGTCTACTCCATGTCTCTATAAAAAATATACCCTTCCATACATTTAGAACAGATAACTCAGAAGTTGCTTATTTCAGAAAATAAGATGAACAAGCTTATTTTTACAAAAACTCGGTGTTGTTGCTGAGGAGGCTTTTTAACAGATTCATGAGCCAGAGGGGTCATGGACATCTCTCAGCTCATAAAAGACCTCTGTATATAATAACTCAACAAAATTCTTTCTAACACACCTCACAAACAGCTTGTTTGAAATGTGTTCACAGAGTGGATATACACTGGGTTTCTGCTTGTACTTAAAAAACATAGCATGAAGCCTCATTGACTCTCTGTCTTCACAATTGTAGCGGATCATGCAAAACTGCCTGACAGGACAGAAAGAGGTCAAGAGGAGAAGGGAAGGTGTTTGACGGAGAGAGAGATTAGGGGAAGAAGCAAAAGAATAAAAAAGAGGCAGAAAAGAAGGATTGGCTTACTTTTGGTTTAAGTAGACAGTGAGAGAGACGGTGCCCATGTCCATCTTTGTCCGGTGGTGATTGGCTCTTATTGATTCTGTCTGCTTCTCTGTCTGCGCTGTGTCGCTGAAAGAAAGAGACGTGAGAGGAGACATGATATAATATTCAATATCATGATGTCTCAAGTTTGTAATGTAAGCACAGACTATGCTGCATTTCGTTAATCAAAAGCAATAATTCATTATCTCCATCAAGTGAGGTTATGTTTTCATATGTTTGTTTGTTAGTCAGCAGGATTACACAGAAACTACTCAACCGATGACATTTTGTGGAGGAGCTGAAACGACACAAAGAACAACCTGACATTTTACTGCAGATCTGGATCAGGGAGGAAATGCAGGAAACTTTTTTTTCACTTTCTTTCACATTGCTTGCATTGATGGAGGTTTTTCAGCATTTTGTTGATTTCTCAGAGAATGACTCATAGAACTTGACAAAAAAAAGACATGTTGAGGTGACTGATATTTATGAGTGTGTGCAATTCAGCAGTGCAGATCCAAATAAAAATCTGGATCTAGTTAATATAAATGTGGTTTCATAAGATGACTGTTGGGCCTTGGAGGTATGAACTCTCTTGAGTGCCTCTCTAGCTTCCACATGGATTTGACCAGTGACCAAAAATATTATTGGCAAGATGATTGTACCCATCAACCTCACGTGTGCAAGGAAGACCTTCACATAAAGCATCATGCTTCCCTCATCTTCATCATTGTAATACTCTTAGCGAAACAAAAACGGAGAGGTTTATTGCACAAGGCAGCGAGAGGGCAACACTGTGCCAGTTCAAATACAACTAAAGTTTCCAGAGTTTCTTGCAGTGGCACATATTGGAAGGTGTTTAAGGCTGAGAAATCACTTCCAGCTAAAGTCCCACATGGAAAGGAACAAAATAAAAACTTCAACCTGAAAAAGCAAAAATATTAATTGCAACAGGAAGCGGCCAAGTTTGAAGAATATTTGGTGCCAATTACTGTGAAACACTAGCAACGACAATACCATGGCATGAGATCATCCTGACCAATGACTCATTTTTATGGCAGTTACAGCAAGGTATGAACATTTATTTTACTGTATTATATAAATATTGGATATGATCTTTTTCAACCACTTTTGAATGATCACAGCAGTCAGTGTAATAATGCCAGCTGCAAATGAAGGAAGGGAGGAGGGAGCAAGACACATGTTAGTGTAATTGAAAGAATTAAGGAAGAGAGAGAGGAGAGAGGAAGGTAGAGAAATGAGGGAGAGAGTTTATTTCTTTTTCTTTTACCCTCCTTTCTTCTTTTCATATACGGTATTTCAGTCTGTGATTTTGTTAGAATGTGATGTTTGGCTTTGTGGTTTTGGCTCGGCTCTCTTCTCTTGTCCCCGTGGGTAGAGACAAGGTCACAGAAGAAGGAGGGGGTACTTTTAGCCGTACTGCGTCTGATGATGATGTCTGCTTGTAACAAATTTGACTGAGGGATTAGGACGTTACCTCATATTACAAATCCTGCAAGTAGCTGTGGAAGAAGAAAATTGAAACCACAGTTTAGTATATCAAGGTCCAGACTGTTTCAGCAAAAGATATTTCACATATGATTTTTCTACACATCATTTCAGAATATCTATTTGAAGAATCACATTTACAGGAAAATGGGCATATACAAATTATATTTAAAATTATTCTGCTTCTCTTGGGTTTATTCTGCAGTACTTTTTTTAATAATAAATATCTAAATTTAATTTAATAGCTAATGGCAGTGGTTATTTAGTTTAGTTTGCAACATTGTGTTGGTGCATGTGAACTCTGCTCGCTGTCTTCATTGACCTCTCGTAAATTGACGTATTCACACAGCTGAATTTTAATAATCTCTGATGCCTTATAGAACCATGTGTAGGTGAATTTCTTCTTTTCCGTTATCCGCCTCCAGGGAGGCTACAGCTCAGGGTCAGCTGCGGAGCCACAGCCCTGGAGCTGGTAGAGAACATGACCTGATTACGGAGACTCCAGCAGGGCAGATGTATGCCGATAGATCATCTGCGTAGAAAGACAGTTTTACAGGTCATAAAAAACACTGCCACCCTGTCCAGTCCATGTACTGTGCTGTAGAATTTTGTTGCCTGTGCACTTTCCATTTCTGCAGTTCGATTATGTTTCCTCTCATAAATGTAGAAACCACGTTATCCCAATCATGACCCTGAGCAGAATATTACTAGTTTTCACTGTACATGACACATGGTGAGAGGCAAGAGGAAGCAATGGTTTGAGAGGAAGGAAGGATAGAATGAAGGAATGGAAACGATGGGTTGAATCTAATTAGACACTGGCACAGATGAGGAGGGGTGGAGGTCTGGGTTGAAAAGGTTGAAGAGAAGAGGCAGACGAGATGTATGGATGCGCAGAGGATGAGAGATAGAGACACATATAGAGACAGCCAGAAATACAGATGAATGGACTGAGGCTGGACAGAAGACATGAATGAAGTAGCATTCAACATGACAAAGAGATAACTGGGTGGAATAGGTTGCCCGCCAGAGGAGAAACATGAGGGGTAAAACAGATGGATAGAAGCCGCCAAAATGAAAAGACCACGAGACACGGTTGAACGGTGGGATGGATGAGAGAGGAGCGAGGGATGACAGAGGGATGGAGTGAAAGAGGGGGAAGAACAGAAGGGAAAAGTAAACCACAGAGTGAGTCAGGGAATTATCCTTGTCTGGTCTTGTTAACTTGACACGGGCCACGCCTGGTGGGGGGGAACAGACGGACAGACAGAGTGTAAGAAATACTGAGAGAAGCCGACAAAATGAAAGTGTAAAAGAAAGACAGATGAAGAGGGAGAATGCACAGTAGCTGGGAAAGGAAAGATCTAATGAGATGTAATCGTGTTAGTTTGTTAGTGTTACACTGGGAGAGACAATAGAGACAAGGGGGCAAGAGGGGGAAATACAACCATCCAGAAGAAGGAGCGACAAGGAAAAATGAGAGATTAAAGCATCGAAAGAAACAGAGGTCCATAGAATCCAACCCTGTCTGAGCCCAATGCTATGCGCTAAGTAAACACTGTCTGTATGTTTTGTTTAGCATTAGCAGTCTGGAAGAAGACAGGGCCCTGTTCCAAACCTGGTACTCATTTTACCACAGGCCTCTATGTATGCCATCTTTTGATTACAGGAGTCTGAGCATTGCAAATGGCCTATCTTATCTGCCTTCTTTTGGAAATACATTGGAAACTGACTCAAACCACATGGTGAGGTAATTCACAGCACAATGTCCTACCTCCATTAAACTGATACTGTCCAGAATGACTTTAAGTCTTAACCACCACAAACGCAGTGCAGCAATCCTGGCAGATCCCGAACATGGCACTGTCCGCTCAGTTACTGTGGTCGTACAGCGGAGAGCCAGGGACGGGTGCCAGTCCCCGGGATGTTTTCTGAGTGATCCCTGCTTTGGTTATCATGTGAAGAAACCAGAGAGGCAGAGAGGGCGCTGTGTTTGAGCCATTTTTTCACAGCAAGCTGAAATGTGGCACTCATGCCGAGACCAATACACACAACAGTAAAACTAATGCTTGTGAAATGACAACAGTTAAAATGTGGCTTTGATGTTCAGATTTGATGTGTGAGGTTGCATTTGTTGAATGGTTGAATGCCTACATCAAAGGAATGAGGTCTGCAGAGTGTTTTAAAAAACAAACGTTATTTT